CAACTTATGACCATTTGTTTAGTGACTTTGAAGTTACAGTGGTCCTGAAAAAAGTGACTTATGACCAGTCCTCGCACTTCCAACCGTCACAGCGTCCCCACGGTCATGTGATCATGATTTGGGCGCTGGCAACTGTTGCACATTTACGATGGTTGCAGCATCCTGCGGTCAAATGATCACCATCTGCAACCTTCCCAGTCAGCTTCCCACAAGCAAAGTCAATGGGGAAACCGGCAGGGAAGCTTGCAAGTTGCAGTCACACGAGGTCTTGCTTAATGACCGTGGTGATTCACTTAATGACTGTGGCAAAAAGGTCTTAAAATTAGGTGCAGTCACATGATGCCTCACTTAATGACCACACCACTTAATGGCAAATTTTCCAGTCCCTATTGTGGTCGTAAATCAAGGACTACCTGTAAGAATTAACATCTCCTTCAAGTCAAGTTCAACTATTGGTAACTTCAGGTACACACCCATATAAATTTTCTTTTCAAGTAGCTTAGAAATGGGATTGCCACTGGCTTTTTCTAGAATTGCATGGAGAAAATCTGTGTGGTTACTGAGTGTAGACAAAGACTTGATGACGTATAATCAATCAATCTTCTAGAAGATTTTTTTCAATTTCTCACTCTAGCTTATACCCCCAGTATTTCCACAAGGTCTCCTACCCAAGTACTAGCCAAATCTGACTCCATTTAGCTTCCCAATTCAGACATAGTCAGACAGTGCTGCCACCTGCTGAGACAGCTCTCTTAGTGAATCAGCTTTTATTAGAGAAAGGAAATGCGAGCTACTGGCTGGATTAATGCATTGTGCTAAGGCATCATGTAGATTAGCTGGTTTCAGCAGTGTATTCTGAATGTGAACCCAGACACTGTTCATAAATCATTGTTTATAATTTCTCATGCTGTGCTAGCCCAGCCAGTAATGCTTATTTAATAAACCAGGTTAAATAAATGAAAATTCAATGAAATGTACATACAATATGATTGAGCTTCACATGCAGCAAGGTGCCTGATTCTAAGATAAAGAGAAGGGAAAATATGGTTCCAAGAGAAGAATTCTAATGCAAAGGGGTTGTTCTGCACACTCCTCGTGGATTATGACCAAGATTCAAATGTGCAGATCTGACTGTACAGATGAAAGATGCAGGAATGCCCACACATTCCACTGGATTTTTAGAGCACACTGTAAGTAGAAAATTCAGCTGGTTACAGAATGATGGTAAAACACAAGCAGCAGCAATTCCCCAAATCATTCCCTTCAATGCAACTTGAGTAAGGTGGGTCATTAGTTTTGTAGGTAGAACTTCCTTCACAGAGAAGGAAGAGAAAGGATTCTATATGTTCAGGAAACCCTAAAGTCTGCAGAAGTAAAAAGAAGGGCAACTCTTCATCCACACACACAAGAGAAATGGACATCCAAAGAAAAAGAAACCCCTGTAAAAAAAACAGAGAGGTGGTAATAAGCCAATTTTCTTGCACAAACTATACTACATATGTAAGGAAGAAGAAGCAATGAAGGAGTCAGAAAAGTCTACAAGCAGCTAGATGAAAGAGTGCTCACCTATGACTTTGTGATTTCCATTCATTTCATTATTAACTGCAGAATATCTTCGAGAGCAACGAATGTTTAGATGACATTCTTACTATCAAAATGCTTTGGGCTGCTACACTGAGTAGTTCAGGTCACTCACCCATGGGAATTTTTTTGCTTCCATTTCATTTATAAAATTTATATTTACCATCCTTCAGGAACTTGGGGAGGGGGAGGACTATGTCCATTTTATCCCAACAAGTACTGTGAAGCAGCTGGCCTGACAGAACAGTTGGCCCAAGTCATTTAGCGACTTTCCATGATTGAGCGTGGACTTGAACCTCAATGTTCCCACTCCTAATCCAACACCTCACACCCAATTTTAATTGTCCATGCAGTGTTTGAAGCACCTTGACTTTTCCCTGCAGCCTGACTGGTTTGTATAAAGAAAGGAGAGAGAGAGAGAGAGAGAGAGGAGAGTCAAATACCCTTTTCTGTGCCTAAAGAAGACATAAAGATTGCAAACGTGAGGGGAAGACAGCTCCAAAAGTCTCAGGCATGTGGCAGTAGTCTAAGACAACCTACTGAAAAGACTTGGCTTTGTCACTGCACTCCACATGCCATGGCTAAAAAGTGATCAGCAAAATCACCAGTAGAACTAAGGTATTCCCGCTGCCATAGTTTATCTTGGGGAGGTGGAAGGAGCAGAGATTGCTTGGCAGCTACTGGATCCTAACCCTCTTTTGTCCCTGTAACCTGGAATGAAGACTCAATTCATAATTTAACAGATATCATACAGTCAAAATTATAGAATCCTTTATTTGCCATGCCCATATTCCATTCTTGTAGTTTCCAAGAGATAGTAGAGAAAGTAGCACATAGCCATGTGGTGAAAGCACATCTGTGCGCAAAAGGATTAATCACAAGCTAAAGCTTCAAAGGCAGCTTCTTGTCAAGCATGGCAATGGGCAAAACAGAGAGTAAAAAAAATTAAGAAATGGATGCCACAGAGGCATCTTCGCTAACCGTGAGTCACGGCTCTGAAATGATCTACGGGATCGGGGTAGAAACACCTCAAATACTGTCTATGCCATAACAGCCCCAAATTCTCAGCCAGAAAGAAAGAGGCCTGGTTTCGTCCAAACAGCTGTCCTTGCCCAAGGTGGACTACAATTCCCATCAGCCCCACCCATCCCGCCGTTCGGGTTAGCGGCGATGGGTCTCGTAGGCTAATTCATCCGGCGAGTCGAGGAAACAGAAGTACTGATGAGGCACGGCTGCCTCCCGCGTGTAAAGAAGCTGCGCCGCCGCGCTATCCAAGCACCGCGTGCCTCCCCTGAGGGATGCCAATCGTCGCCCTCCCCGCAACCCCAGCAGCCCTTGCCCTCCTCCGGAAAAGCCCGAGGAAGCCAGTCGCCTCACCTTGTACTTATCAAAGCCGGCGAGCTGCTCGGCGCTCACGTACTCGTAGCCGGCCATGGTTAGCAGCGACTAGCAGACGGATCCGCTATGCAGAAAAGGGCCCACTCCGTCTTGCCTGCCTTTCCCACGCAAGGCTACATAGGGAGCAGGAGCAGCGCCCGCATAGATACGCTCGTCCTGCCCGGCTTCGAGAATAACAGAGGAGGAGGAGGAAGAGCCACCCCGCTCAACCCCTCGCCGGTTTCCGTACTTCGCCGGCTCCTCCTCCCGCGTGGCCACCCCAGATCAGCCCACCCGTGACGTCACCGAACGCCTTCCCCCCCTTCCCTTTGGCGCGCCGCCATCTTGGATGAGGCAAGCTGGGATTGGTCCTGGCGCTGATTCCGCTTCAGAGGTCATTCCTCTTTCAGCCTGCTCCGCGGCTTCCTAAAAGACACCTTGCTTTTAGTTTACCCTTGGGATCTGAAAATTATATTTAGTGGGCGGTTTACAGGATCAAGGTGTAGTCTTTTTTCCTCGAATCCGCTACACCTGAAATACATTCCTTTTCTATTCCTCCCGCATTTCCTTGTTCAGTTCTTGATAGGCTCTTTCCCACCTCCTCTGCCTAGAACATCTAATTGGTCTATACCAGGGGTTCTAAATCTTGGCAGCTATAAGATATGTGGGCCAACTCCCAGAATTCCCTAGCCAGCATGCTGCCTGGGGAATTCTGGGAGTTGAAGTCCACATATCTTAAAGTTGCCAAGGTTGAGAAACCCTGGTCTGTACTATGCTGATTTTGTTGATACGCTGATAAGAACCTGAGACAGAGTTTTTACCTTTTGCTGTACAGTAGTTCAAGCCAGTTTCAAGTGCAATCCTTTTTTTCTGCTGATTACATGAATAGGTGATCCAGTGCGTGGTTCTAATAGGAGTCTGGCTTAAAACTGGAAATATACACTATAGTTAACATGAATAATCTTTTACCGAAAAGCCAGTTTTACAGTGAACCATTAATTAAGTGCACAAGTTGGCTTCATAAAACATGCTATGCTATCAATTGATTTGTGGCTCAGTAATTTGAGTCCAACCTACTTTATAGATTATGGGGATAACATTGGGGGAGGAAATATTTAGGTAGCATCTTTGAGCTGCTAGAGAAAAAGTAAGACTTAAGTCTAACAATCCAATTGTGGTGCTTGTGCTTTTATTATGGAATTAGTACATGAAGTCCAGCTTCTTTCAAAGCAGTGGGATTGAGCTGCAAGACTAACCCACCAGCATAAAATGCAGCCTATTTTGATCACTACTTCAGATGGTCAGAATTAATACACTTATGTTAGTATGCTTTCAAACATTTTGACTACCAGCCTTAACCTGATTTATTGAATAATGATTTGGTAATTCAAACCACGCACTAAGCCATAAACCATTATTACAGTTGATATACGATACAGGTATAAACCTTATCACGTTGTATGATACTGACTCTCCATGACCCCTAATGATTTCATAGATAAAAGCCATGTAGTTTGACATTGTGGAGTGTTTGACATTGCCTTCCCCCGGATTTTTTTTCCCCTTCCCATTCAGCCAATAACCTTGGCATTGCCTGGGGGACTCTCATCCCTGGGGACTAACCCATTCTGACTCTGCTGGGTTGTAGTGAGTAAACCAGCCCGAAATCGTAAACTATGAGGTTTGCTTTCCCCCTTAAATACTGTACTTAAATGCGCAGGATTGGCGCCAGTCTTTCATAGTGTATACTCCTGGTGCTTTCTTGATCTGTCTCCGTTAGCAATCCGTAACTCTTCTAGGACAGCCCTCTGCTGTAATCCCTTGGTCCATCAGTCCACCCTGTCCGTTGCTGAAATCCTGCTTCTCGTTCAGCTGGTGACTCCCTTTCCGGAGAGCGCGCAGGTAACCCAGCTATCAGCGAGACAGAGAAGCTTCGCCGCCCCTCGAGTTCGCCCGCTGCGCGACCCGAACCTCCGATTGGTCCGTCCCGTTTTGCCCCGCCCCCTGGTTAACGTTCTGTTCACGCAAGCGCTTAGCCGCGATTCAAACGGTGGCGGAAACTGTTGGAGCGGTTGCAAGTGAGTTGTGCTGGTGGGTGTCTGCTCGGTCACGGTGGCGCGTTCTCTCCCTGGGGCTGCTTGATCCTGTCCCTTGCCCTGCTAAGCCTGTCGTGAAAGCCTGTAATTGGGGCCTGTGGACCGCAGCGGGAGGCTTCCTCGGTGCCCTGCAAGGGGGAAATTGGATGCCAGGAGAGGGAGACCCTGACTCTTAACGGCCTGAGGAAGGGGTGCATGGCCAGGGCGTCCCTCGTGGTATCTCGTCTAACCGCTGCTCTCCCCGAGTCTGCCGGCCCTTAATTATTAGTAAGTTAC